TTTTTCTATTTTTAAAGGGAAATATCAGGGGTCTGTTTAGACCCCCAATATTTCCCCGAAGCCCCTAAAAGTAAAGTAAAAAATTTAAATATTGAATAAAAAATTAATTAATTAATAAAAATTAATTATAAAAAATGAAAAAGTTTCCAAAAAAATAAAATATTAAAATTTGAAAAATTAAAAGAAAAATGTGTGTGTGCGGGGGAGGTGCAGGGTACAGTTCCAGTGGTTGTTTATATAATGGGGGGGGGGGCGAAAAAAAATGTCTGCCCCGGGCGCCCAGAACTCTGGTTACGCCACTGGAGGAGTGGGAGGGACAGACGATCTCATCGGGCAGAGTCCAGCGATCACATCGCACACACTGTCATCTCTAACTAAGTGAAATCCGGAGCTTCCAGAGAGGCGGGTCTATGTAGATTGATATGCAGCTGAAGGGAGGAAAAGCCCTTACGGAAATAGCCGAGCGGCTGGAGGGAACAGATCTCGACGGGGAATAGACTTCGACACAACACCCGTGCGTTGGGATGTCAGTTCCTGGTTCCTGTAGGCAGTGAGTGCAGCCTCCTCCTCCTCCGTGGAATCCTCCCCTCCTCCCACACTGAGGCCTAGCACAGACAGCACCTTCCCGCAGCGATCTCTTCCAGCCGGGACCCCGCACATCCTCCCACACTGACCCCCGGAATACATCCAGCAATATGAACATCTTCCGCTTCTTGGGAGATCTGTCCCATCTGGCTGCAATCTTCATCCTGCTGCTGAAGATCTGGAAGTCCAGGTCCTGTGCGGGTAAGACATTACAACAATGCTGACGTGTGGAACTACAAGTCCCAGCATGCCGTTCGGCGCAGGGGCTGGGTCTTTCCCATTACTCCCCCTTATACTGTATAGATCTTATTGATGTGTACATAGTTGCAGGCAGATGACACTTTGTGACAGTAGAAGTGGCCTGCTGGTGGCACCCAGGAAGTCAGTGTACAGCCTCCATTGTTCGGGACACATGATGGGTGTAAAGGATCAGTAATCATACCTTTGTGTGCTGGGATTATGGGGGGCCCTGTGTACTGGTATGGGGGGAGGAATGCCTCTGTGTGCTAGTATTCGGGGAGGACTTTGTGTGCTGGGATTGAGAAGGGGGTCTCTGTGCTGGGATTGAGGAGGGACCTCTCTTTGCTCGT